TGGTCGAGTGGTTAAGGCATCTAACGGCCTACGTGATGGCCGAGTGGTTAAGGCATCTAACAGCCTACATGATGGCAGAGTGGTTAAGGCATCTAACTTCCTACGTGATGGCCGAGTGGTTAAGGCATCTAACGGCCTACGTGATGGCCGAGTGGTTAAGGCATCTAACGGCTTACGTGATGGTCGAGTGGTTAAGGCATCTAACAGCCTACGTGATGGTCGAGTGGTTAAGGCATCTAACGGCCTACGTGATGGCAGAGTGGTTAAGGCATCTAACAGCCTACGTGATGGCTGATTAATTAAAGCATCTAATGGCCTACGTGATGGCCGAGTGGTTAAGGCATCCAACGGCCTACGTGATGGCTGATTGGTTAAGGCATCTAACGGCCTACGTGATGGTTGATTGGTTAAGGCATCTAACGGCCTACGTGATTGCTGATTGGTTAAGGCATCTAAGGGCCTACGTGATGGCTGATTGGTTAAGGCATCTAACGGCCTACATGATGGCTGATTGGTTAAGGCATTCTACGGCCTAGGTGATGGCCGAGTGGTTAAGGCATCTAACAGCCTACGTGATGGCCGAGTGGTTAAGGCATCTAACAGCTTACGTGATGGCCGAGTAATTAAGGAATCTAACGGCCTACCTGATGGTCGAGTGGTTAAGGCATCTAACTGTCTACGTGATGGCCGAGTGGTTAAGGCATCTAACGGCCTACGTGATGGCTGAGTGGTTAAGGCATCTAACGGCCTACATGATGGCCGAGTGGTTAAGGCATCTAACGGCCTACGTGATGGCTGAGTGGTTATGGCATCTAACTGTCTACGTGATGGCCGAGTGGTTAAGGCATCTAACCGTCTACGTGATGGCCGAGTGGTTAAGGCATCTAGCGGCCTACGTGATGGCCAAGTAGTTAAGGCATCTAACTGTCTAAGTGATGGCCGAGTGGTTAAGGCTTCTTATGGCCTACATGATGGCCGAGTGGTAAGGCATCTAACCGTCTACATGATGGCTGAGTGGTTAAGGCATCTAACTGTCTACATGATGGCCAAGTGGTTAAGGCATCTAACCGTCTACAATCACTTGCTTTTCCACCACTGGGTCATGGGCTCGAGGCCTAGGTTGCGCCAGATCGCTGTTTTCGGATATTAAAATCCTATTTTTTAGAAATATCTTAAATTTACAAATATTTTTGCATCCCTTTTATATAGAAGGTCATATTGAATTTGTATACATGCAAGTTCAGTTCTGAATTTTAATATTTTTGAAAATGTACAAGATGAAAGATTTATGTTAAATTGCCTTTTAGCTTCGGTTATCAGGATTTCAATAATCTTGTCTGGTATTTGTGTCACCTCAATACTGCAATTGGGTAATGTGCCCTAACGAAAGATGTGTGATGTGTCCCAACATGGGATGTGTGATCTTGTAGTTGTGCCATCCCCATATTGACTCCTATACTAGCATCACATACAGTATGGGTCTAAGTCTCCTAATGAGATGTGTGTTGGCAGTAATACAGAGTTAATATGACATGGCCAGATTATCTGGGATACCACAACCATACAATAGTTTACAATGAATGATCAATTTCCATAGACCATAAACCTCTCTACATGAGCCTGACCATAAACTGACCAGCCCTAATGTTTCCAAACAATCAAGCATGGTAAATTAACGTGTAATTACTGGAGCTAAGTTCCAATGATTGGTCAGTCACACTCGGTCTGTGTGACCATAGTTTGACCACAGGAGATCAGTGGAGGGTCTAGCTAACTTGCCACAAGCAATTAGTAGGTTCAGGCTCTGGACCAATATCTGGACTCTGGTCAGGGTGTTGTTAGCAGTGTCCAGAACACTTCACTGACCGAAGTTGTGTAGTAGGTTGATGATTCAATTAACACTTGTTATAGCTGTTAATTGGTAGGTAAAGGTAGTTCTGTATAATAAACCAGAAGTCCAATAAATGTATTACCACATCCTAGGTGTGGCATGTGAAAATAAATAGAATTAACAGGAAAGAGAGTAGTGTGCTTCCATCAGGGATCAAACCCACGACCCCATATACTTCCTAGTCAGACGTTCTACCACTAAGCTAAAGGGAAATTTCCTCTAGAATGAAGCTTGAAGGCGACCGTTATCCTACGTACAATACAAATCTGCCACGGATTATTTGTATGTCAGAAATAAGTGAATTTATGAGAATTTCTCTATAGTTCATTTGGTTGAGTGTAAGACTGGTAAACCAGAGATCCGGGTTCAACTCCTGTTGGAAGCATTGAAAATAGAATAATCTCTGTTTCATACAGTGTATGTGTCTTAACTGTGATATGACCACAGTGAAACATTCCCCACTCGGTATATTATCAGTATATCACCAGTGTATTGGGACTTCCATGTTCTTTTCTTTCTGCTGTGCTTCTCGAGGCACCCATCTTCCTATGAACCTGGCTGTTGTGAGGAAGTTACCCCCCCCCCCCCCTTCTGATACAAGCAATCATTAGACTATCACTCTCTTATGACTGTACCATCAAACAAACAACTTGAGGTTTTACTTGTTAAATTCTAGGCAGATTTCAGTGCTGATTAATGGTATTCTAACGTTATTAAAATACCTTCTACATCTTGAATCTATTAACTGTTTGAGGACTTAATGTGCAAAATTGCTGCAGTAAATGAAATGCCAGTAGCTTCATTAAGACATCTGGTTATCATAGGGAGGATGATGGAATGATTCAACACTTCTCATGTTTTTAGTTAACACTCAAACATCTGCTATATAACAATGAGACAGTGGACCATCTCACATGTAAAAAGGTCTATGAGACATTGGATCATTTTACATGTTCACCTTTGAGTCAGGTGACCTAAAGCCTTGACCATGTTAACCTTTGAGTCAGGTGACCTAAAGCCTTGACCATGGTCACCTTTAAGTCAGGTGACCTAAAGCCTTGACCATGTTCACCTTTGAGTCAGGTGACCTAAAGCCTTGACCATGTTCAACTTTGAGTCAGGTACGTGACCTAAAGCCTTGACCATGTTCACCTTTGAGTCAGGTGACCTTAAGCCTTGACCATGTTCACCTTTGAGTCAGGTGACCTAAACCCTTGAAGAGGAACGGGCGATGGACACTGCACCATGTACATAAGGTTGACAGGCACTTAATGTCAGGTGAGCTGAAAATTGGTATCAAGCCAGAAAATGTCTGAAAGACCTAAATGTCCTGTATTTAGTATCTTATAAAAAATAATCTATAAATAGTAACAGTGACCTTGGCCTTGACCTTTGTACAGTAAAATGAAGTTTGATCAAAGTCTATAAAAAAATCTAGTCATTTGAAAAATGTCGATGAAATATTAACAACTAACAATTCTATATATAGTAACAGAGACCTTGGCCTTGACTTTGGAATCTTGAAATGCAAATTCATTCAATGCATTCTCATACTTTTACTTTGTGTAAAGTTAGATCAAAACAAGTTAGTGAATGAAGCAGCGTGAGAGATTCATGTAACTCTCAATCAGGATTGGATGTTATGGGACAGGATAGGTAAGACACGATCGGACAGGATAGGTAAGACATGATCGGACAGGATAGGTAAGACATGATCGGACAGGGTAGGTAGGACACGATCGGACAGGATAGGTAGGATGGGACAGAATATGAGGGGCAAGAAGGATATATGCTCTCCCATAAAATGTTGGGGGCATAAAAAAAAGTGATCTTTTTATGACCTTGACCTTCAGAGTCTGTAGCTTTACTTTTCTCCTTAACATCTGAAGAAAGGTCTTTTTGTTCTAGACAGACAGACATAAATAGCAAAGGGATAGCAATTTTCCATTCAAAGCAAAAGAAAAGCAAGCAAAATTATTTGTAAGGATTGAGTACAACTTTGAATTCTAAGTTAACATCTTGTAAAGTTTAATAAATAGCTCGGAACTGATTAGCCGAGATAGACTTTAACAGCCTTTTTTATGACAATGCTATACAAGCACATACATCCTAGCACCTGTGCCAAATTACCGCCGTGTTTAAAACACCATCATTACATGTTTCCTTTAGATTTTGTTTTTTATATTACTTTCACCCTCCAAAGTTTAATTATGAATCATTCTATCTTTCACAATCTGGGTCAGACCATTATTGCTGAAGGGCTGACAAGGTGTACACTAGGGCGTGTCTATACATCACCTCACACCCATTAAATACCCCAATATTGAAAATCTGTGTCAAACGGACAGAAACCTGGAAGCAATTTAGGTTGATTCCTCAAAAAAGGCAATCTCAAAAACGAAACCACATTATCAAAATTTCCAGCTCGACTGGAACCCAGACCACACTAGACCCTAACTCATACGAAACAACAACTTTAGACGAGTTTGTTTGGGCATCTTTAATAGATCTACTGCACTTGTTGTTAACTGAGCTGTATTATGAAGCAATATGACTTGTTGGATATTGTTGATTCCTATCCGTATTATAACTGATATACACATTAATACCCACACAAAGCAGCTTAGTTGAGGATAGAACTGCTGACGACATGTGGCTACACACTATAGCTACAGCTTGTGTTCCTAACATACCTCTTATGCAACATAGCAGATCAAAATGTGTTGCGTCTGTGACAGCTGTCAAAGGCTCAGTGTATAGAGCCAGGACAGTCAGCAGAGTATCAAGTCTACATTCTCAACATACATGTTGGGATATATCCTAGGCATTACGTATTCTGTAAGATTTATCGCAGAGTTTACCCTATGTTTGTAGGGCAGACCTTGATTGGGATTCCAACACACCTCAAAGCGAGGCGACTATTATGCATGCGTTTATCTACATGCACTTGTGGGGCTGATCAAGTCATGCCTTTGAGCGGAGATATCCACAAAAAAACACCTAATACAACCATGAAATTCTAACATCTGTAGATCATGATCACAAAGGAGTTATAAAAGATCTCTTGATTATTTTTTTGTAAATAATGATTAAAAAGTCGATTACTTACGTAAATCCTTTTGTGAATGGCCAGATGTTGGTGTGACAGTGTTCTGAAGATCTGCCACACTCAGCGTCAGTGCTTCCCATTAACTAGACCCTCACACATCTATGGAGGAGGGAGGCCTGTTGGAGATACAAACAGATAGAACATGTTTGATATGTCACTTTTTCTTTCATTACGTTCAAATATACATTCTTCCAACATGGACAGGGAACTTTAGAGTTCGCCTCCCTGCAGGATCAGGGTCTATCATCAGTAAAAAAAAATATTTTTTTATTTTTAACGATATCATATGTAGTGCTATTTTAGACAGAAAGGGAGATGGTCTGCAGAGGTTCAAACATATTATACACAACACTTTTTCTTTAACATGTAGAGGAAATTTTATTAAAAGGTTAGTTTCAGTGCATGATTAGGATTTCATTGACATTGTCATCGTTTTTGGATATGAAAAAAGGGTGCCATTGTTACGAGGTTTCGATTAAGGTAAGATTTCAGAACTATTGCCAATGTGAAGAATGTACACACCAAGATCAGTTTGAAGGGTCACAACGCTAACATTTCTATACCAAGATCAGTTTGAAGGGTCACAATGCGAACATTTCTACACCAAGATCAGTTTGAAGGGTCACATCGCTAACATTTCTACACCAAGATCAGCTTGAAGGGTCACAACGCAAACATTTCTACACCAAGATCAGTTTGAAGGGTCACAACGTGAACATTTCTACACCAAGATCAGTTTAAAGGGTCACAACGCTAACATTTCTACACGCAAAAATGTACACACCAAGATCAGTTTAATGGTCACAACGCGAACATTTCTACACGCAAAAACTGCCACTTACTGTGGAGAGGAATGTTACAGGATCCTTACTTTAGAAAAACACTGTACTACACACAATTACTACACTCCTGTTTTACCCACCCAAGATCTGAGAAGCCATGTAAGCTTTTTTTCCTAACAATATTTTGATAGTTGGACCACAGTTTACAGGATGGAGATGAAAGGGAAGGCACACACATAAAGAGGCTTAATATTGTATTATCTACTGACATTTGAAGAGCATCAAAGTGTTGTCATGACACTGACGTTCATCCCGACAACAGCTGGTAGAATTAGCCAGGAATGTTGGGGGTGATGGTAACTATTGTGAAGACTAGTGGATTCCTGAACTGTCTGGCCCCTCCAATACACCATGCTCTGTCACCCCCAGACAGACTTTATCTGTCCCCCAGTATACTGTTTGATGGCTGCCTATAAGATCAGGAGTTTTCTGTAGAGATGGCAGTGATGCTTCATGACCCTTGTATACCACTTCTAAACTCTCTTTAGCCATGCTGTACCTCCTATGTAGAGATTTAAGGAAGATTAAATAAATAAAATGAAATATACAACATTTGATATAGCGCCCTATCTAGCTAGCTAACATAAGCCACTCTAAAGCACTTTACAGTACATATACAATTTTAATACAGTCAATACAATTAGCATATATATTNTAATCAACACAATATTGAGGAATTCTGTGCTTCCACTCCATCTGTCTGTAGCCCTTCCCTCTCTGCCCCTCCCCACCCCTGTTCTTCTTCTTCTTCTTCTTCTGTCAAAGAACAGTCCTCCTAGTGAATGGGTAGAACAGAATTAATTCTGTGCTTCCACTCTACTCTCTGTAACCAGACTTTTTGTGTGGAGATTGATGAGGATTGGAGCATTTTTCTGGATTTGTCCTCATCAATCTATATTTTTGTTTAGACCTATTGTGTCCTTTGTCTGGTGACCGTTTATTATCAGGTACAGGGTTGAGACAAAGTCAATACCCNATAATTCTGTGCATCCACTCCATCTCTCTGTAGCCCTTTCCCCTCTACCCCTCCCCACCCCTCTTCTTCTTCTTCTTCTGTCAAAGTACAGTCCTCCTAGTGAATGGGTAGAACAGAATTAATTCTATGCTTCCACTCCATCTGTCTGTAGCCCTTCCCCCTCTATCCCTCCCCACCCCTGTTCTTCTTCTGTCAAAGTACAGTCCTCCTAGTGGATGGGTAGAACAGAATTAATTCTGTGCTTCCACTCTCCTCTCTGTAACCAGACTTTTTGTGTGGAGATTGATGAGGATTGGACCATTTTACTGGATTTGTCCTCATCAATCTATATTTTTGTTTTGACCAATTGTGTCCTTTGTCTAGTGACCGTTTATTATCAGGTACAGGGTTGAGACAAAGTCAATACCCACCCAATAAACCAACGAACAAGGCATCTATCTTGGAGAGTGCAGCAAAGCAATGAAAGTACACACACATGTATTGTACCACAACATAATTTCAACCTGCCAAGTTTAAGCCCTCTGGCCTTTAAAACTGAATTTGTTAATTGATAAATTTACCCTCTTGTTGTTTTTAAAAAGTGAACTTATTTCCCACATTTGTTTCCTGTGTTGATTAACAAGCTGGAAACGTTCTCGTTTTACAATTAGCACTGTAGTCAGTTAGCCTGGGGAAAGAAACTTCCCACTATACACTACCAGTTTATTACAGCTTGGTTAAGTGGAGCATTTGGGGTTAAGTACCTTGCTCCATGACACGAACTGGGAAGGTGCCCACTCAAGGGGGAACAGCAAAACCCTTAATTCTCTGGACAGTGGCAGCAAATCATTAGGTCTCACACACTCAAATAAGAGTACTTGACTAAACACATTTACTTGATGTTACATTCGTTTCTCACCACAACTTGCTTAATCCTATATAATGTCTGCCATACCTATTCTACAACATCAACTTATGCATACATATACATATGTTCTCTATGACACCATCTTACACATTTATGTATGCTATGACACCACAGGGACCAATCCAGCCTTATTTTTTTACCGTTTATCGGTAAATTTCCCCTCGAGATAGAAATTCCCCTTTCCCCTAAAATTCCCCACAAGGCTTGTTAAAAGTTCCCCAAATGACACTAAAAAGTCCCCTTCTCAAAGATTTCTTTTCCCCCAACCAAAATAGATAAAAACAGTTCCAAAAGTAGCAAGAAATATGTTCAAGTTTTGTACTCGCGATCTGACGATATCACACACACGCTGTACTTAAGAGTCTAGAGAATTCAGAACGTCGTGGTCCGAGGTGCGTTCGATCTGCGAAAACACTTAAAATCAGTGTTACGGGGACGGCAAAACGGTAAAACTCTGTCGAACGCACCTGCCGTGATACAAACATATTAATGACCGGGATGCTTCAAGCTTTTAAGTGACGTCTCCAACGTAAACAACAACCTAATCATGTCTCACAAAGCGGGATATTATGTTAAAAGACTCACAAGTGACAGGGTTTATTTTTTTATGAATAATTCTAATCAAATATTATCTTGTTTATGTTCCATGTTGAGTCTTGCTGTATTATTAACTTATTTACTTATGTTAGTCCCAGTCAAAAGTAAAATATTATCTTGTTTTTGTTCCATGTTGAGTCTTGTTGTATTATTCACTTATGTTAGTCCCAGTCAAAATGTCAGTGTACAATATTGCACAGNTGTACTCGCGATCTGACAATATCACACACGTGCTGTACTTAGAGTCTAGAGAATTCAGAACGTCGTGGTCCAAGGTGCGTTCGATCTGCGAAAACGCTTAAAATCAGTGTTACGGGGACGGCAAAACAGCAAAACTCTGTCGAACGCACCTGCCGTGATACAAACATATTAATGACCGGGATGCTTCAAGCTTTTAAGTGACGTCTCCGACGTAAACAACAACCTAATCATGTCTCACAAAGCGGGATATTACGTTAAAAGACTCACAAGTGACAGGGTTTATTTTTTTTATGAATAATTCTAGTCAAATATTATCTTGTTTTTGTTCCATGTTGAGTCTTGCTGTATTATTAGCTTATTTACTTATGTTAGTCCCAGTCAAAAGTAAAATATTATCTTGTTTTTGTTCCATGTTGAGTCTTGCTGTATTATTAACTTATTTACTTATGTTAGTCCCAGTCAAAAGTAAAATATTATCTGGTTTTTGTTCCATGTTGAGTCTTGTTGTATTATTTACTTATGTTAGTCCCAGTCAAAAATGTCAGTGTACAATATTGCACAGCCTCATTCCATGTTTCTAGTCATATCATGAAGTCATAAACGTTAAAAAATAAAAATAATTCCTTAAATGAATGATTCTTGTCATTTATTTTTTAATGTTGTTGTAATAATCTGAACTAAATTTTAAAGATTTGATTTCTTAAAAGTCCTAAAAAGCCATCTCATTGCATCTACGAATGTAAAAAATATTTGGGGGAGACCCCCCGTACCCCCCTTACGAGAAGGGGGCTATGCCCCCCTCTGATGCTCTCCCCCTGGCTCTTGCCTTCTGCACTCGATCAGAGGCCTTCGGCCTACCATTTTCCCCCACAACACTAAAAAGGGTACACTTCCCCAAATCCTGCATTGGTCCCTGCAACAACTTACACATTTATGTATGCTATGACACCAACATACACATTTATGTATGCTATGACACGTACTTACACATTTATGTATGCTATGACACCAACTTACACATTTATGTGGAGATGATGGTAGATGTGACCCATTAAGGGGGGGGGGGTAGTAGTGGAGATGATGGTAGATGTGACCCAGTAGGGGGGGGCAGGGGGTAGTAGTGGAGATGATGGTAGATGTGACCCAGTAGGGGAGGGGGGGGGGGGTAGTAGTGGAGATGATGGGAGATGTGACCCAGTAGGGAGGGGGAGGAGTAGTGGAGATGATGGTAGATGTGACCCAGTAGGGAGGGGGAGCAGTAGTGGAGATGATGGTAGATGTGACCCAGTAGGGAGGGGGAGCAGTAGTGGAGATGATGGTAGATGTGACCCAGTAGGGGGGGGGGAGTAGTAGGGGAGATGATGGTAGATGTGACCCAGTAGGGGGGGGCAGGGAGTAGTAGTGGAGATGATGGGAGATGTGACCCAGTAGGGAGGGGGAGGAGTAGTGGAGATGATGGTAGATGTGACCCAGTAGGGAGGGGGAGGAGTAGTGGAGATGATGGTAGATGTGACCCAGTAGGGGAGGGGGGGGGGAGTAGTAGTGGAGATGATGGTAGATGTGACCCAGTAGGGAGGGGGAGTAGTAGTGGAG